CGCGCCCGCCGCTCCCGTGGTTCCCGCACTGAGGAAACGCCCGGAGCTGAGGCAGCAGCACCGCCTGCCACAGCCTGCTGCCCTGGCCCCCGCGGTGCTGCGAGCAGCCGGCCCCATTTCCCTCTCACTAGTACTGACGATTCAGTTTTTTAACAACAGTGAGGACCGATGAGGTCTACGGCTGCGTCTTCGTACCCGATCTGTTGTCAGCGTTGAGCTGTGCAACAGATTTGCCAAAAAAACCCCCAGATTTGCAAATGCACGGCCCGGCGGCACGCAGGACCAGTGCCCAGCGTTGCCGTGCTCCTCTTCCTCGTCCGCCCTCCCCTGTCGCTGCGGCACCTTCCTCTCTAGCGACGGCCGCTGAGCGCACACTTGCCTTACAAGTGATTCAGCACAAACAAACTGTGTGCTCATGAGTTTTGAGGTTGGTTTTTGGTTGGGTTTGTTTTTTTTTTTTCCCCTAACCCCAATAGCAGGCATGAGTGTTGCTCCAAAATACCAGCTGGCAAGGTGCGAGATGCTGTCTGGCAGCCGAGTGCTCCCGCTCGTGCACGGGCTGCATCGGCTGTGTGAAGCGTGAGAAAACCCTGCATAAAACTCCGTCAATCTTGGAAGCACTCTGTTTATATTCTCTTCATGTTGTCTCATTAGTGCAGAAACTTGCTTCTGCATGAACGTTACCACCAAAATAATGGCCTAATATAATTAAAGCTCCTGGCTCTTTCAGTTTGATGGGTGATAAAAAAAAAGGCCTCGTGTCTTCATGAATTCAAAGCTTGCGTGGTTGCACAGTCTCACTGAATCTGTCTCCTCGCTCCCTTCAGAAACACCGCGGCGGTGGTCCACAAGGCTTTGGATGCACGTCAACGAAGCGTTGGCCCCCGGCGGCACATTCTGCAGGCTTCGTAACTGCTGTGCCAGCCCTGATGTTTTATGCAGCCCAGGCCCAGAAGAAACTTTGTAAGAGAGGTCTAAAGAATTCAGATGGAGTGACTGACCTCGAGCACAGTCGCTCTGAAGTTATTGACAGCTCGTTCCCATGAACGCTGCCATGCAGACTTACCAAATATTTTCTTTCTTCAGAAAGTCAATGGAGTGTTACCAAATGTACTCAGCATTCCACTGTTTGCAGTAATTTTGCCATGATATTCCCAGTGAAATATTACTGTTTATGTCTGTGTAATAAGAATGGAAAGAAAATACGCTTTCCTTAACAAGACATGGATGCAAATCCTATTTAGGATGGGTTTCATGTTTGCAGCATGGGGAGGTTTGGCTCTGATGAAAGTCATGTGTGTAGTTAGTTGTTTTACGCACTGCGAGTCTCAGATGACTGGAATTATGTTCTTCCAATTTAACAAGGTTACCCAGTTAACGAGCGGAGAGATGAGTCAGAGCACAACCCTAGATCCCAGCTCTCATGAATTTAACACGTCAGGACAGTCTGAATCTGCCCCTTCCACTCTGAAAAGACGATCCTTACTGAACAGTACATGCAATTAAACTTTTTCGTTCTCTTCAAATTTTGGATGTTGGAATCAGAGCAAACAAACCTTATGAATGTGACACCGGGCCGTTTATTTGAGAAGCTGTTGAATTTAGATCTAGTTTTTACTGCTCTAGGACAAGAAGATGCCGAGAGGGTGTAGGTTATACTTCAGAGTCAGGCAGGGTTTTTTTTTACTGCACGGTAATGGAAAGGTGCCTGAGGGAGCCTGGCAATCACTGAAATCTGTTTTGGTGGTCGTCTTAATTAGCCACTAAAGGCGTGCATGGTCTGTGCCAAAGGAAGGGGCCTCGCCTCAGCGATCGGGGTGAACCTGGGTAAGCTCTACGGGAGGTCACCCGTACTGCTGGCGATTACAGTCTGCCCTGTCTCTGCGCGCAGGCAACGGGACGAGCTGCTAAATCAGCAAGGACGGTTGTCATCGCGGGTATTCCAGATGGCCTTCTGCACAATGATGTCATGACTGACATCCTGATGATTCATTTCCAAATGTCGAAGAATAACGGGGGAGATGTGGAAGAAGTAATGTATCCGACGATGAAAAAAGGAGTTGCATATGTAACTTTTGAAGATCGAGAAGGTATTTAGATTAATATACCAAATACAGCTGTCCCCCAAAGAATTGGCCCTAGAATGTTAACCCTAAACAAAATTATTTTAAATTGCTTACTGGTACTAGGATTTTACAGAACTGGGAGACTTAATGCCTCTCTTTTAGTCAGTCAAATTTGTAGGATTTTATTTCTGTTCAGTGAAGACGTGACTCTGAACAGGCTTTGCGCAAAGCGTCTGTTTGGTTTGGTTTTAGGAATAAATTTATACTGTGTATAACAGACATGATTTTTATTGTCAGGCCTTTGAGGAATAAATCTCTGCCAATTAATGTTCTAAGAAGACAGGCTTCTGCCTCTCTCTGAGCAATTTTGACTAATACATAAAATATTAGGCAAGAGTATTGAATCGCCCGCGTGTATGTACGGGAAATTGTTGGGGAAATCACCAAGAATAAAAGGACCCGTGAAGTGTTCTGCCATCAGACTGGCAATGACGCATTATCTTTCTGCACAACAAGTGAACCTGGCTTTCTCTTTAGTTGTAGAGAGTGTTCTAAAGAAGGATGAACATCGACTGGAAGACAGGAGGTTGTCTGGATACTATCCGCTGAAAGTAACCCGTTACTGTGAAAACGTAAGCTCATTCATAATTTATCTAGTGCTTCCATTGCTGCGTAAACCGTTACTTAACTTCTCCAATTCAATGTTCTAGGTCTTCAGCTCTGTCACATCTGTCCTCAATATGTCTGTTTTCAAAGATCAGTTTGTTTTAGAAGACCTGATACAAGAATTTAAAAAGAAGAGCACAGCTTTGAGCTTTGGTCCTTTGCAATCCAATGGGCAGATCTCTGTCCAAGGGTCATTTCCAGCAATGAAATTGCTAAGAGACTTTCTCTTACTAAAAGCACAATCCCTTTCGGAGAAGGACGAAAGAGAAGAAAGTAAGTCCCGTCAGAGGCCGAGGAGGAGGCTACAGCAACACGGACTTACCCCGGAGACGAGCAATTCTGTTCATGCTGCAGATGGGGAAAAACAAGTGGTCGTTCTTGACACAGATACGTATCGCTACATGAAGCACTTTTTTCCCAGGACATTCCCAGTAAATGCTGATGTTGTAATTTCTGAGATCACTGATGGCGATATAACTACAGTATCTATTGAGAATGCTGGAGGTAGGTCTGGTGCTGGACAGGTATTAAGAGTCAAAGAGAAAATTGAAGATCAGTCTGTAAAGCTCCATCACGCTTTACGTAAAGAAAGGATCTACTTTGAAGAGCACGTCAGAGGTGGAACGTGGAGATACAAAGGGGTGTGTGCAAGTCTACAAGCCCGTTACCCTCATGTTTTGATCATTCCTTATGATACTCACATTGATGTTATAGGAAATTCTTCTGAGATTTTTGAATTTACAAAGGAGGTGAGCAATAAGTTTCGGAGCCTGTTTCAAAGCAGGTAGAAAGTTCATGGTTTTTACACGTTGTGCTGCTCAGACAGACCGCACCGGTGCAACCTGTGTGCCTCTGTGTCACTGCGGATCTGTCACATGCCTCCTGCTCACAGTCTGCACTTGAGGGTGGACAAGCCCATTCCCCCCAAACACCAAATTAAGTTCAGAACAGGAACCAAATAATCTGTCTCTCTCGTGAGCTTAGAGACCGAAGAAGTTAGGCTTCCTCTGTCCAGGGACAGCCGCCTTTTGCCTTTTGTTAGCTGCATTCTGGGCACGTGCACTCTCATTCTGTCTTGCTGTCAGGGAGCGTATGATGAGAAAAGAGAACTTTTTTAAAGCATTCTCATTAGCATAACAAGTCAGACTGACAAAGCTGGGCGAGCCAACCTGATACAAAATACTGCATTGACGTTTCTTTGTGCAAGGAGATGACCACTGAAAACGGGAATGGTGGCCTTTTACTGTTGCCTTTATCTGCAGAAGGAAGTCCTCGTCACTGAGGTGCGTGAAGAAGGTAGAGCTTTGACCCTTGAGGGGATGGAACGCTTACTACATTTACAGGTTTACTAAATTTACATGTCCTGAGAAAGACCTTAGAAGATGGCATTGGAAGTTTTTGACAGTAGAAAATAAGCGAGTTTGTTTTCATAGGAGCTCTTTGGTTTTTTCTTTCAGCTGTAATGGCATAGAATCATAGAATGGTTTGGGTTGGAAGGGACCCCTAAAGGTCCTCTAGTCCAACCCCCCTGCAGTGAGCAGGGACACCGCTAACTAGATCAGGTTGCATCTGCAGCATCCCTTGCCAGCCTGTTATTTAGACGTGAAAGTATATCCAAAGTTTTGATAGGAAAATGTCGGGGCATTTAGACTTTGGAATCAGCTTCTGTTTATGCAAATCCATTTCTGTATCCATTACAAGGGTCCAAATACCTATCCTAATTTAGGCTTTTTGTAAAACCAATTCAGAAAATAACTTTTATTTTGTGCTATCAGCGTGTTCAGAAGACTTTGTCAAAACTTACAGAGCACCATCTCTTATGTCTTACGTGCAGGAAAAGTTTTTATGCCATATGCCACGAAATAAATCAGTTCTACAAAATACCGTGTCCATGTTCTTTTAACCAACCCCCAGACTGTTGGTTGGAAGCCCAAACCTAAAGCCTAAGAAATGCTTTCGGCATTTTCTGGTCATGACTGGCGACCCATTGCGATTATGCCAATGAAAGATAAAGTTGTTAAACTAGTGCCAATGCTGTGTATTAAAATACACCGTCAGGGTGGGAAGGTGGTGAGCTGAAGTACTTCGCTGAGTTGGAACGGGGCGGGAGGAGTGGTATGTAAAGGTTTCATCTCTTCCAAGTTCCCCTGTAGCCAGTAGGTTCACCGAGGGGGTTGGAGATGGGGCTGGACAGGGGTCCCCAGAGTCAGGCCCTGGCAGAGCCCCTCTTCTGCTCCCCAGGAGCGCAGGCAGCCCTCCAGCACCGGGCTGCTTTGGGTGCTCCCCAGAGAGCTTCAGCAAAGACGGCAAGGTTTTCAACCTTGCAAAAGCGAAAATCCTCTATGAAGGATAATCCTTTAATGAAATTAGTGCTTTTTACTAGCGTCCGGATTGGTCTTCCCTTCTTTTCTTTGGAAAGCCTCAGCTTTTCCTGATTCACAGCGTTAGTGTTGCCTATACATATCAATAAATGTTTAAGGCTAGGCTGGTAAACCAGTGGCACTGGTGGCAGTTTGAATCCTGACTGGTTACTACTGGCTGAGCGTCGCTTTTTGAGTCCAGTTTGACAACAGAACAGTTTGCAGCACTGGTTACGGGTGCCGTTCAGGTCTCGTTACCCAGCAAGCAAGTCGTTTTTACTGAAGGATTTTGAGTCAAAACCTGAAAATCTTGAAAACATCACAGCTGAATAAAATCCTCTTGATGAATCCTGGTTCAGTCATGACAGCTCCTCTTCAGAGTCACTCGTCAGACGCCCCTTTGCCACCATGTCCTTGGAGGTGCTCGGCTGCCGAGCGCTGGGGCCGTTTCTCGCCCACCAGCCAGCATGGTCTCATTGTTTCCCGGTGTTCTCCCATCTGCTGTCTGCTCTCACACCGAGGATGTCATTTCTTTAGACAAAAGCAGCTTTACCTTGGTGGTTTTGTGTTTATGGGGCGCCTAGTAAATAGGGATCAGGATCTGGGGTAGATGAGTAAAGAGGAGCTATCGTTACGCTCCAGGCTTTCTGGGGCTCGTTTTTCGGGTCAGGGTTGCAGCAGCATTGGCCAGGAACATCCCACCTTCGTCACCGTTGATGGTTCCTTGTCGCTATTTGCCAGGGCAGGGCAGCGCAGGGTCCTTACCAGCGGTAGCAGGGAGGCTGCGGCAGGTACGCCTGCAACTGGCTGAGCCCCACAGAGGAACCTGCTTTCTGTAGCAGGAAAAAAAGCCGTGATCCACCGGGATAGACCAGGGCTTGCTGTAAGATATAAACAGCATTTCAGGAGAATAACATTGTAAGTGAAACACGTATTTGTTCCTTCCTTCACGATGCAGATACCATGGAAAACAATAGATGTTTAGCAAAATCAGAAAGTACGATTTTTTCATTACTGTGAATACTTAAACAAATACAACAAAACAAATCGGTATTAGGTCTGGTAAGAGACTTGCCAGCTCTCATTCTCACAGTTGTTTTTATGGCAAGGAAAGCACTGCTGTATCTATTAAACTCTGAATTTTTACTTAAGGCACAGCTCCTACTGACAAAGCCTAAAAGATAAAAAGGTCACAAAGAGCAGCAGAATCTGAGCCCGGTTCCGGCTGCACCCCGCTATGGTCGGTGGGGTAAACACTGTATTCTGTCGCCTGAAACCCTGAGGACCCGAGAAACAGTTTGACATCCCTTAGCAGGAAAACATGATACAGTTTGGAGGCAAAAGCCATCTCCTTGTTGGCCGGAGGGGATGGGGGAGGTGGACGGAGGAAGAATGATTTGCTGGAGTCCTTTCGCCCTCACTGGCACGAAGCGCTGCTCTGGCCCGGCAAAGGGAGGACAAAGCCGCCTTGACTCCCCATTGTACCTGTGCATCTGATTATGCCATGTCAAAGATGCGTTCAATTCCTGCAGGAAGGAGGTTGTTCCATTAGGAAAAAAAAAAACCAAACCCTTCCTGCAGGTTTAATCGTTGTCATCGAAACTGCCTCTGCCACCTTTGAGTTGCATTGAAACTTTCTCTGTGCATTTGTTAAAAAAGCACCTAGTACAAAAGACCTGTCACGCCTCCCGCAAGATTGCAATGCTGGAGTGACATTTTCTTAAGGAAGAAGTACTCGCTGCTTTTGGGACCCATGTGTCTTACTTAAAAAAAAAAAAAATGAAAAAACATGTAGGAAAAATAAATAGCATTGCTAGCGAATAACTCATTCTTTAAGACAACTTTTAGGCTTGCATCTTCATCTGGCCACACTGGAGACGCAGAAGCATAAAACCCAGATGAAAACAGACCGTAGTCATCAGCCGAGGGCTCGGGGTGGTCGGTGAGTCAGTACCTGCAGCCTGCTGGGGTCAGATGGGGACGTGGTCCCACCAGGAGAGAGGAGATGAACTTAGCAGTCTGTGTATCCGGAGGAGCCGAGGCTCTGGCTTGGCTCCGGTTCGGCTCTCGGGAGGCTCCCATAAACAAACGCACACGTTCCTGTTTTGTTGCACATCTTGTGCGAGAGAAAAGCAGCTGTAGAGCAGGGCCCAGCTAACGCTGGGGAAATTCCTTCTCCATTGCACAACGTTTCTGCGGTGACTTCTTCCCTCGCATTGAGTGTGGCTGGTGGGTGTTTACGGGATAACGTGGCTTCCATCCAGCTTAACTCAAAATAACTCATTTCTTGTCCTTTGGGCTTCTAGCCCTCAATCTGCCACAGTTCCCGATGAAGGGGCCTTTTCCACCCCTCTCTTTTAAACTGAGAACATCGTGAAATCACATGTAGGTACTTCACCTACCGTTAGAGGATGGCAGTCTTCCCTGGTTTCTGCAGCAGTCTGCCTGAAGATAACCAGAGAGCTTGGCTAAGAGAAAAAAAACAATTAATCATTCATTTCAATTGCGATTTAAAAAAAATAGCCATAAAAACAGAAAAAATGGAGTCAAAACTGCACAACAATCCAGGGTTGACAGAGCCCGGTCTGGTTGCACTTACTTTTCCCTTAGCTATAGAGAGTTGCAGAACATCTGCTGGAAAACAAGTCCCTTTTTTTCTGCTTCGCCTAGCACAGCCTTCCTTTGTCTCCTGACACCCATTAACGACCTTTAAAGAAATCTCCTAAAAGTAACTCACTTAAGAAGAAATACTACCTCTAAAGGCAGCGGCCGCTGCTGCTGGAGCGTTGCCTTAAAGCCGTTTTTCGGGTGGATTTCCCCACTCGTTACCTCTACTACCTCTGTAATAGGAGCAGTACGGATCAGGACCAGTGACACAGAGCTCTTCACCAAAAAAAAAAAAAAAAATACTGGAAAAAAATAGTTGTGTTATTTTTGTACAGGTGAAATCATGTCATACTCCTTAAATTTCTGACACAGTGGAGGGGGAGATGCCTCGCGTGCGGAGGGCGGGGTGTACAGATGGCGGCACATTGGCTTGCGCCGAATTGCGCCGAAGAAGGGTGGATTTTCTCCAAGGCAGGAGCTGTGGCTGACAGTCACAACTCATCCCCGATCCAGCGATAGGCGGCTGGCTGCACATAGCGCATATGGAGCTGCACGCCCTGTTCCCTAGCCGTGCTCCAGGAACAGCTTGATATTTCCTGGCGAGCTCAAGGGTACCAGCATGCGGGGATGCTCCATATCGGGTCAGGTCGTGACTAAGAGCTCCTGATGCCATCTGCTCCTGGGGCTGGACATGAGGAGATGGGCAGGGGCCACCTCCCCCAGGCGGTTGCACCCTCTGGACTTTGTCCCATCTGACTTCTCCTGCCATAAACCCGGGGAGCACAAGAGGGAGCCAGATGCTTTGGAGCTGAAATCCCAAAGTCTCCGCTGGGGTCCTGCTTGGCTGGACACGGCAGAAGGAGGAGATGTCCTGCCCTGTCCCTTAGCTGGTGGAAGAGGAGCTCAGGCCACGTTTGCCTGGAGAAGATGTTGGGAATGGTCCCTTCCAGTCTTTCATCACTCACGAGGTGCTCTTACGTCACCTCCTTTCAAGGTTATATAAAAACGAGTAGGGAAATCGAGCACTTGCTGACTTCACACTGAACTTACGGAGGGCCAAGCTGACCACAAGCCCGAGCGCTGCTGTAGTGAATCCCTTGTTAAGCATCATTGCTTCAGAGCCCTGAACCAGGCGAGCACAGCATGGCCACGTGCAGGGCAGATCACCTTGGTGCGCACGCGAGTGGTTGGGGATGCCCACCCTGTTATCACTACCTTGAGACAGGAGGGAGTTACCAGAAGGAAGAGTAGGCGAAAGCCAGCGGTTCTGCTCTCTGGGGGTGATGCTCCCCGCTAACCCCCATCCTTTGGAGGCGAGGACCCGCTGCAGAAAGCAGCGCTTGGATCCCAGCTTACCTGCACTGCTCTCAGGCTCCTGGTCTCCTCCAGGTCTCACCAAGTACAAAGGCTTTGCAGGAGAGACGCCACCGGCTCAAGGTCATGGAGCCCAACTGCTGCATCCAGGAATTACACCCTTCTTGCACATAAGAATAACCCACCCCATCTCCTCTTTGACACGGCTGGCACTGGGGTCAGCGGGCAGTGCTGGCACATATCCATGAGTTTGGCTTTCGGTTAAGACACACTTCAAAAAAAAAACCCAAACCAACCCTAAAAAACAACACCCCCACCTCCCCTGACTCTTCCATTTCAGCATGGATTCTGACAAGTCTTTCCTAATGCTATAATAAAAGCAAACCCTCTTTTTAGTGTTGCAAATAGACGTGCCCTGCCTGGCCTGCACATAGGGACTTAATTTGGAGAAACTCACCATTTTTACTGTCGCCTGGGTGCTTCTGTTTATTAGCAGATAGCTCTTGTGCCGATACAGCCAGATCTTAACAACTGGAACATTTTAATGTGCACAGTA